CAGCATCGCTGCCTTTGGCTCGTCTCTGTCTATTTTTGATTTGCATATGATTGCTGGTGTTCTGTCCCTGGTAGGCCTAAGAGTGGATTCCCTTTGGAGTCTGTTGGGGTTTTTATTTATTTATTTATTTATTTATTTATTTATTTATTTATTTATTTATTTATTTATTTATTTATTTATTTATAATTGTGGTGTCCAAAGCTTCTGCTTTTGGTCCTTCTGTGTCAGTTTTCTGTATTTGGGCAATAGAGTAGAGCTTTGTTTCTGTTAGCAATACCAATTAAAGGCATGCATGTTTTTCTGGGGAATAACCCGGTAGTTAGTCCACCACCCCCAACTGTGACGACTTGTACGTCAAGTTCAAGTTCCTTTTATTAGTACCCTTGTTATTTATTTTGCAATTATGAAGTGGCTCCCTGCTCAAACACAGGCACTAGTAAATCTGTACAAGCACCACACTTCTTTAAGGCTACAAAGAGCTGTCATAAATAGGTAAGTTCAGGTTTAAACAAAAAATTGAATAGCTTAAGAAACTGTATCTTATATAAAAAGACCTACCTTCTCTTCCGTTGTCTTCTTTTACCAGTACATTAAGAGTCCCTACTCTCACCTCCACACTCCATTCCTGCCTTTCTTTCTCTTGTGCTAACTCCTAACATGCCTTCCTCCTTTCCTCTATGTTTGTCTTTGGCCACCAGCACCTTGTTGGATGTTGTCTAAAGGGCTCGGAAAGCTAAAAAGCGTCTGGACTTCTTTAAGTTTCTTAAAGACATTTCACCTCTCATCCGAGAAGCTTCTTCAGTTCTTCTCTGATGAGCAGCTAAGATAACCTGGATGACTGAGAATTTTCACAAACACGGTGGATGTTGTTAACAACCTGGGCCCCGACTGCATGTTTTATTTGGCCAACATTTTATGCAAGATGCACTTCTCTGATACACTCCTCCCTGTTTATCCGGGTTTGGGAGTGATATTAAGAGTGCACTGGTTTGTGGCCCATTTTTCAAACAGTAAATTTGAAAATTCATCAATAAAATACATTTCTTAGCAATAAAAATATTATTCTGATTAAAGAGCTTGTGGTTATTCGTGGATAAACCATTATAGGTGCTTTGTCCTTGATGCAAATATATAAAAATTGTGTATGTTTCTGTTCTGTGTCTTGTGTACTGTTTGTTGTATATGTGTCTTTCTTGCTGCTGTTACACCCAAATTTCCCCTTGTGGAACAATTATTGGATTATTCTATTCTATTCCATTCTATAGAAACATAACAAGTTATTATGGTAATTGCCAATACTGTACATTTAGGGCAGTTATGGCATAAACCTAATACTGGTTGGTGATGTAATAAATTTGCTAAGCTTAACGTTCCAGTGCTTCCACCATTTATAAGATAGCTGCCAGTTCTTTTGACAAATGAAAACTAAAAACAACGTCTTAATGTGAAACTAAACAAACATATTTGTTTCATTAGATCCCCATACTAAACTAAAACCATCAGCTTTGCGTTCCACTCCTGCAAATTATGGTCATGTAGGCAGCCATGTAACTCATCAGCAAAACAAACAAACAAGTCACTGTATTTAGAGACTTTTTAGTGTTTCTTACTTGTAAGTTAAGTCTGTCTTCTCCCATCGCCTGCCATAGAGCGCAAATCGCTTCCTGCGCTGCTGTCTACTCAGGGTGTCCCTCCTCTTTTTCACATTGTTGTATGTCGTGCTGAGCTGCGTTAATGTAGGATAATCTGGGACTCCACAGCGAGGACGATTCCACAAATCTGTGTCATTTGGGGACTTGAAATCGTACTCTTCATTTAGTGTGTCCTGTTCATGACTTGGCCTCTTCTTCAGACCGGCATGACTGTTGCTCCATCTCTGGGGGAAAGAAAACAGAGTCAGAGTACTTTTTAGTTTTAATAGATACATAAAGATGTAATGTTGGCTATGTACCATTTCTGCTACATTTCTACTGGTAGATTCCAGATTATCCTTGGCTTTTGACTTCATACACACTTCTTTGAAAGTAAATCATCACCAAATACTGATGCTGATGACATAACGTTCATAACGTTCACACCCTCCTGGAGAATTCAAAGTACTTTCTTTATACAAAATGCCTCATTTTGTGATGGGTGCATTCACCCATTTTACAAGCATGTCTTTCTATGCTTAAGTGCTTCCTATCTAACATTCACACATATTCATACTCCAGTAGATGCATCAGAGTGCAATTTGGAGTTAGTGTCTTAATGCATGCTCAAACATCCAGGTAAGTAAATCCCAAAAGGTTGATTCTGTTCATCTGGATGTTGCGTTTTCAGTGGAAGAAACACTCCGTCACTCATCCAACTGACGTCTTCAGTGTCAGCTGACTGCAGCTTTCCCCAACCTTATAAGCAGTACATTTGCACAATAAATGAAACTAGCCCACTGAATTAACAATGGCCTGTGAGGTCAGTTCCTTGATCATTAATATGCAAATTGTCATGACTATTGATCAACAACTACTGATCAAAGCCAAAGACCATTGATCACTGATCAAAGTCTATTGATCAATGGCTATGAGTACCATTCACAGAGAGTTGAGGAATGGCTGCAAACACGGCATTTTAAGATGGAAAAAGTCAAATCTCATGATGTACCACAATTCACGGATCACATTAACTCGGTGGACCAACAGATCAAATTCACCAGGGGAGATATGAAAAGTGGCAGGTTAGCCTTCTTAGACTGTGAGATTTCCATCAGTAATGGGGGACAGTTAAAAGTTTATGTGTACTGCAAACTTATGCATACGAATCAGTATTTATGGTCTAACTCTCATCATCCACTGGAGCATAAACTGTGTGTCCTCAGGACGCTACAACACAAAGCAAACACCATCCCCAGACACAGCAGCCAGGGAAGCAGAATAACATCACATCAAGAAGGCCCTGAGTAAATGTGGTTATCCCAGCCGGGCATTTGTCAAAGCTGGGAAGGCACCTAAAGAAAGCTCCAGCTGATCCAGGAGAGAAGGACAGCGAAAATCCTTAGTGATCCCTTATGTGTCAGGAGTATTGGAACAGTTGTTACAGTTGAACAGTCTAAACACCGGGTCTCTGTGGCTTTTAAACCTCAAAACATGCTGCACCAAAAATTGGTCCACCCCTAGGATCGAGTCCCCTGACACAAACAGAGTAATGCAGTGTATGCTGTTAAGTGCCAGGAGGACTGCCATGATTTTTACATCGGTAAACCAAACAACCTCTGACAAAGCGGATAGCACAACACAGAAGAGCTAACTCATCAGGCCAGGACTCCGCAGTCTATTTACACCTACAGGCCTGTGGACACTCTTTCAATGATGAGGATGTACACATCCTGGACAGGGAGGAACGCTGGTCATATCTGTTATTAATCTCTGTCTCTCTTCCACAGCATGTCTTTTATCCTGTCTTCCTACTCTCACCCCAACCGGTCGCAGCAGATGGCCCCGCCCCTCCCTGAGCCTGGTTCTGCCGGAGGTTTCTTCCTGTTAAAAGGGAGTTTTTCCTTCCCACTGTCGCCAAAGTGCTTGCTCATAGGGGGTCATATGATTGTTGGGTTTTTCTCTGTATCTATGAAGTGCCTTGAGGCGACTTTTGTTGTGATTTGAATTGAATTGAATTGAATTGAATTGAATTGAATTGAATTGAATTGAATTGAATTGGTTTGAGCGCGGAGTCAAGGAGGCCATTTACGTGAAAAGGGAAAAGCCATCTCTGAATCGAGGAGGGGGCCTAAGGGTACATCTTTCACCATCTTAGGCTACGTCCACACTAATGTGTTTTCGTATTCAGTGGTGCTGGTTTCAGTCGATATGCAAATGCACTGTTTATAAGATTTGGGGAAACTTGCAGTCAGTTAAGACTGAAGAAGTCACTTGGATGAGTGACGAAACGTTTCTCAAACTGAACACGTTACGTCCAGAATCAACCTTTTGGGATTTGTAGTTGGTATTTTTCTCAAGGATATTTGGAATGCAGACTGGAGCAGCCAGAGATCAAACCATCAGCCTTACTAGATGAACCTCCTGAGCTCCAACCACGAAGGGCATCAGTGTATGAGCTTCAGCTCAGTTATCCATATGATGTTTGAAGTGTCATAAGGTGCTGCGCTGGGCGTCTGTCACACTCCCTCATTACATGCTGACGTCAGCTGCTGGCTCACTTGTGTTGGTTTTTGTTGTCTGATGTGAGGGATGTAAGTTGGCCCAGGCCAGCCTATGATTGTTGGTACAGTTCAGTTTCAGAGTTGCTGAGTGGCCTGTTTTTCACTGAGAAGACAGTTAGCTGTGCTAATATGCTGCTGTGACAAGGAAAGAAATCTGTCAGCAAGACTCTGGACATAAAATGTAATAAATAAATGTGTAAAATTGCAAATAAGGCAGAAAATTGCTATTATTAATGAAAGGATGAAAGTCAAAGTAAGAGGCAATTCAGTTTTTCAAACGTGAAGTGTACTTTTGGTCTACTTTTGCTGCTGGTTCAGTAAATTTTGATCGGAGTGATGAAACCTGCAGTTTGAAATTCTGTGAGGTGTTTGCTTTCAGCACCAAAGGTATGTCCATGTGTATCGGGTGAACGGTGGGATCCACGCATTGTGTTTATATCTTGCACTTACTTGCTTTTTAATCATTTGCCGTTTCAGCTGTTGGTGGTTGTTGAAATGACTTTGTGAGTTTTTAGCTGAGATTCTGATGTTTCTGTGGATACCACATGTGTCTATATTTAAAAACACATCTTACAGTACATCCCATTAAACCAGATGTTTAATGGTATGTACTGTATGCCTCCAGTACCGGGAGCATTGGGGTTCAACAGGTTAATTGTTTATTGCTTAATTATGTTGTGTGGCATGAATGGCTATAAGGGAGGTTTTTGTCAGTAGGAAAAGCTGCAAAACTTATGAAAATACAGTTAAAAGTTCAACATTTCAGCTTGTGCTTGTTTGCGGTGAGCAGCAGATCAACAAGTCAAGAATTATAAATTTCTTCAAGCACTGTAAAACTCATTTAGACGATCAGACACCCAATATCACTGAAATGCAGCCAGATACTGCTCGTTTTACGTTTTCACATGTTTTTTCACTTCTTCTGACATGCTTGCATTTAAATCCGGCTCCTCGTCTCCCTGTGTAGGCCATGTCCCTCAACTGTGAAAGGGTGGAGTGCTCACTCCGGATCAGGGATGAGTGCCTGCCTCAAGTGGAGGAATTTATGTATTTCACAAGCAAGGTGAGAAGAGAGTGGGAGATTGGCAGGTGGATTATATCAATTGCAGATACTGAGAGAAGCTGTTACTATACCAGTCAATCTGTCGCCGCGCTCACCTATAGTCGTGAGCTGTGGGTAGTGACTGACAGAATGAAATTGCAGATACAAGCTGCATAAATGAGCATTCTCTGAAGTTTGGCTGGCCTCTCTCTTAGTAACAGGGTGAGGAGTTAAGTCAGAGAGCTACTGTTTCTCCACATAACAAGGAGCCAGTTGAAGTGGTTCGCAGATCTGACAAGGACGCCTCCTGGGTGAGGTGTTCCGGGATGTAATAGGATGTATTGGAGAGAAATACCTCTTAGCTGACTTGGGAATTGCTCAGTGCTACCCTGGAAGAGCTGGAGGACGTGGCTGGGGATGGGGAGGTATGGACTTCTCTGCTTAGGTTAGAAAATGGATGGAAAGATAGACTCAAGAATATACTTTCCCTGTCAATTCTGAAGCTACATTGATCTACATTGCTTTTTGGTACTCTAGCAGAGTCCAAGTATAAAGTTCAGTTCAGTTTTGTTCAGCAGTGCTGAACCATTGCCACTGCTTTAGACCTTTACTTTACAAAAGACCTTGTTGTTTTTGGTTTTTGAGGCTCACTCACAGCAAGCAAAGCTGTTAATCATCAACATCAAATGTCAGGTCTTAATCTATTAACTATACATTCAAAAACGTTGAAGCTTTAATTGTGCTATTTGATTTTAAACTTATAAAGGCCATTCAATAAAATAGAGACCATTTAATTCCACCTTATACTAGAGATGGCACGATACCACTTTTTTTATGTCCGATACCGATACCGATATCATAAATTTGGATATCTGCCGATACCAATATGAATCAGATATAGGGTTTTTTAATCAATAAAACTGTTTTTTTAATATCTTGCTGCATTTTGTATAAGTTCATACTCAAGTTTAAATAAATAACAACACTAAAGCTATTCTGTTATACCTGTATGTAAAAAATACACTGCACCCAAAATATTTCATAGTTCAGCAACACTGATCAATCTAATAAACTTAAACCTACTCAATCCTCCCTATTCTGGTATTTTAAAGAGTACTTAGCAGAAAT